GGCTCAAAAAAGCTGATTGGGCAGATAACCTCTAGCAGCTAGAGTTGAAAGAGGCACAATGGGGATGGAAAATGCCCTACATAAAAATCGGCTTTTCCTTTCCTAATTGACAAGGCTGTGTGCTAACAAGCAGTGCATGGGAAGGGGATTCTTCGTATTACTCCACCAGTCTTCAAAAGCAGAAATCTACTGAATGTGGAACAGAAAAGGGAGATGGTGAACCTAGCCTATGCAGTATAGGCTTTTTGTTTTTAGAAGTATGCTGCTGGGGGGGGGGGCGTTCTCCCTTCCAGCAAAAAGGTAGCCGTTGAGTAATTAAAGATTGCCATTCGTGCTTCTACCAAGAATTTGTCCAGGTCTGCCCGAACTATACATTGGCACTGCATGTGAGGGTGCATGCACTGTTTTGTGTCTGTTATTTCCTTCTCTCTTGAGTTGCCTTGCATTTTAGGGCCTTATAGGGCAACCGCAGAGGTTTCTAGCCATTTGATTATAAAGGAAATAGCAGGACCCGCAGTGAGTTATGTTGTTTATCTCATTAGTGTAGTACAGTCATAACTCACAGCTAGAGTGAAAGGCTGGGAGGAAAGGAGGGGGAGCAAAGGAGCTCAGTGCCGGAGTGTGTAAAATTAACCCTGAATTGTTTGCCAAGAGAGACAACCTTTTATTCAGAAAACTGTGCAAAGTCAGGTGACAGCATGACAGGAGTCGTCTTCCTCTGTCCCCACATAAATTAAAATGGAGTTGGAAGTTGGCCCTACCTCTCCCTGCAGGTTAGGGAGCTGGAGTAATGAACAAATTTCAAATAGAATATATGAGTATGTAAGACAAAGAACAGAATGAATGGGAAGGAATTTTTTATGAGGTTTGCGGCTGTTCAAAAATATGTTTGTGCAGCAGCCGAACAAAGCCAAATTATGAGCCCATCTGTACATTCACTCCATCTGTCGCTCTGCTATTTCACAATGCAGGTGGAAAAGCTAAATACCTGTATTTAGTAAATATTTAGTGAAATAGCATAGCTGAGAGAAAGTTCTAATTAGAATCCAAACCCTTGGCATGTTTGATGGGGTAGTCATTCAGTCATGCAGTTTCCTGAGCACTCATTCTGAGGGAGCGCATTCTGTTCTTGCAAAGGGTTCAGTTCCTTCCAGCCCACCCCCACCCCAAACTTTGTCCATGTGACTAACGAAGAGCAACTGCAGGCCCAAAGTGGCCTAATTTGTCTGAAATGCTGCTTTTCCATTACTGGAATATTAGCATTCCAGAGGGATGAAGAGAACCTTTGTACATTTCTAGTAGCGTATTAATGACACCCGGTCTGAGAATGCACTCAACAGGCGAGAGATCAGAACCACAAGGTGAATAGATGGAAGTATAACACCATGTTTAAAAATTATCTGATTTGTACAGTTGTGTGTGTGTGTGTGTGTGTGTGTGTGTGTGTGTGTGTGTGTGTGTAGAGATATCCGCTTATTTACATATGTGTGTGTGTGTGTGTGTGTGTGTGTGTGTGTGTGTGTGTGTATCTACACACATATATAAAACTATATATATGTATATATAGTGGCCTAATTTGTCTGCATTTCTGCCTTTCCATTACAGGAATATTAGCATATATGCTAATATTCCTGTAATAGAGGGGCAGCAATGCAGACAAATTAGGCCACTTTGGCTCTGCAATTGCTCTTCGTTAGTCACATGGACAAAGTAGATTTGCATCACTTTGTGCTGAGGTACAGGTTTTCGTCCTCTTGGTTCCTTTCCTGCATTTGGAATGCTACCTTGGCAGCCCCATGTGGTGAGCCCCTGAATGGCAGGTGGCAAATTGTCAGCAAATGACCCTCAGACTCTGAACTGACTCTATCCAATAAGGCTGACCATTTGATACTTGTAACAAAGATGTAGTCCTGCTATACAAACTGATTATTGTTCAGACAGTGGGCGAATTGTCCTTGTCTGGTATCTAGTTGTTTGTTTTTATCCTGATTTGCTTTCTGTTTCTAAATTTTTTGATTCTCACCACTGCCTCCTGACATGTCCTCGTACTCTTACTCTTCAGTTTTTGGTTTCTTATTCACTTCAGAGTGAATATGAATAGGGCCAGGGCTTTTCCCCAAGACATCCTGACACCAAGAACAAAATGATGTGAAAGTTAATCAGATTGGCAGGCTAAAAATGGGATACACTTGGTATACTTGCCCTAACATAAGTACCTACATATATTCTGCCTTCTCATGTTGCTCAGCCTTCCTTCACCTCTCTCTCCTTCTCCTTCTCCTTCTCCTTCTCTCTCTCTCTCTCTCTCTCTCTCTCTCTCTCTCTCTCTCTCTCTCTCTCTCTCTCTCTCTCTCTCTCTCTCTCTCTCTCTCTCTCTCTCTCTCTCTCTCTCTCTCTCTCTCACACACACACACACACAGAGAGAGAGAGAGAGCTATTCAACATTTAGCTAGCATTGCTGGGATATCTGTCTCTTCGTCCCATATTGTTGGTGGCTATTTTTCCATGGCAGTGAAAAAAGGAACTGCCCTATCACACTTTACAAAAAGATTGCAGCCACTGATAGGAGCTCCACAGTGATCATATACTGTAACCTTGAGAATAAAATCAAATGTGTTGCTTTGGCTGTGTATCAATAACAAAGCTGTCCAAGGCCAATAGGCTACACAACTTTTTATAACGTGACTAAGAATAAAGAGCAGAAATGTGTACTGGAACTTAATTTTGAAGCATTTAGCTTGATTATCATCATCCACTGGTGTCACATTAGGGAATTTTATTGTGACTAAATGTAGTTGTAAATCAGGGGACTAACTAGTTGCCAAGCAAGTTACAGTATTAAAGGTTGTTCTGGGTTTTTCAGGCTCTTAGGCCGTGTTCTGAAGGTTGTTCTTCCTGACGTTTCGCCAGTCTCTGTGGCCGGCATCTTCAGAGGACAGCAGCCTGTGCTCTGGTGTAGTTGGCTTGGGAGTGCAGTATTTATGGCTGTGAGATGGGCTTTTGTCTTTTCCTGTAGATGGGTGATTAGTGTGTATTGTTGTGGGTGTATTGTTGTGCTAAGGGGAAGAGATTATCTGTTCCTGTGGTTGATGGGTGTCATTAGCTGGTCTTTTGTGT